GACACCCAGCTCCCTCAGCCTTTCCTCAGCAGGGAGATGTTCCCCTCCCTCCATCATCTCTGTGGCTCTGCCCTGGACTCTTTCCAGCAGTTCCCTGTCCTTCCTGAACTGAGGGGCCCAGAACTGGACACAATACTCCAGATGGGGCCTTACCAAGGCAGAACAGAGGGGGAGGAGAACCTCCCTTGACCTACTAACCACCCCCTTTCTAACCCACCCCCAGGATGCCATTGGCCTTCTTGGCCACAAGGGCACTTGCTGGCTCATGCTCATCCTCCTGCCCACCAGGACCCCCAGGTCCCTTTCTCCTACCCTGCTCTCCAGCAGCTCAGCCCCCAACCTGTACTGGTACATGGTGTTTTTCTTCCCCATTTCCCTTCCCCAAATGTCTCCAGGCGCTGGGGGGACTCAGAGGTTGACCAGGGCGGTGGGGAAGTCACTGGCCATGGAGATGGTCCTCACCGGGGACCGGATTTCAGCGAAGGAGGCAAAGGAGGCAGGTAAGGATGTGATCCAGGCCTGGCATTGCAGGGGTCCAGGGGAGAGTCGTGTCCCCTCCCAGCCCACCCCACCCCACCACCTCCCACCTGGTGAAGAATTTCCTCCCAACATCTAAGCTAAATCTCCCCTCCAGTTTTAATCCATCCCCCTTGTCCTCTCTCTGCCCTTGTCCCAGGTCCCTCCCCAGCTTTCCTGGAGCCCCTTCAGGCACTGGAAGGTGCTCTAAGGTCTCCCTGGAGCCTTCTCTTCTCCAGGCTGAACAGTCCAAACACTCCCAGCCTGGCTCCAGAGCAGAGCTGATTCAGGCCTTGGATCATCTCCATGGCCTCCTCTGGACTCGCTCCAACAGCTCCCATGTCCTTCCTGTGTTGGGGACCCCAAAGCTGGACCCAGCCCTGCAGGGGGGTCTCCCCAGAGCAGAGCAGAGGGGACAATTCCCTCCCTGGCCCTGCTGGTCACACTACTGGGGATGCAGCCCAAGACACGGGTGGTTTCTGGGCTCCAGCACATGGTGTTGGGTTATGTTGAGCTTTTCATCACCCATCATCCACAAGCCCTTCTCCTCCGGGCTGCTCTCAGTCCCTTCTCCACCCAGCATGTGTTTGTCCCTGGGGTTGCTGCGGCCCATGTGCAGGACCTTGCACCTGGCCTTGTCAAACTTCATGTGGTTTGCATGAGCCAAAGCACAAGTTTCCAGTGAGACCTGAGCCCAGGAGCTCAGTGCTCCACTTGTTGGCCCTGTCAGTCCATGGTGCTAACGACCAAGAGCTGTGTGTCCTACCTGCCCTGCTTGCCCCTACCCCAGGTCTCTGAGAAGCCCCTGATGGTGGTGGACACGCCGGGGGTGCTCTCGCCGAAGCTGGGTGATGTGGAGACGGGCATGAAGCTGGCACTGTGTGGTGAGGTGGTGGCTGTGGCTGGGGGGGCTCCCCAAAGGTGGCTTCAAGCCCCAGTGGGGGCTGGAACCTGAGGCTGGGGGGGGAACCTGCTGCTCCCGGCCCCTCTCCTGGCCA